ACCTGCCATATAAAGATACAGAATTTTAGATGTGAAAAGGAGTCCTTAAAAGTAACAAATCTAAAGCAAATCAAAATGAATCTCAACATAACTGTCTTCTAAGAGTTTGAGAATAGCGAAGGGAAGTCAGTTTCTGCTATGTCTGGCATCAACTGCAAAAAAAGACTCAACTCATTTTGTCATCAGGATCTTGCTATGCTTCAGGGACAAAATAATGGACACTGGTTACCATGACATGAAATTATAGGAGTAGAAAACATTGTGTACTTGAGCAGAATTTGGGATCTCTTAGCCTAACTTTCAATTATTTCCCTTGTGTTAGCCTAGTTCACTTTCACTAATCCCTCTTTTGACAATAAAAACAGAGAATGAAGTGGAGAAATTAACAAAAACTCTGAGATTTTTAACTGGATTTCAAAAAATGGGAGTTTACTAGGTATTGTTTTATAAGAGCAAAGAAAAAAACCATCTTAGAAAACTCTAAGTGATATTACTGATTATATGTTATTTACATCAAAGAGTTCTGCTATCAATGGGACTCATACCCATCAATGACATGAAATTACATTCCTTACTTTTGTCTGTCTCATTAGAATCAGGAAGTGGCATACCCTTTCTAGCTCACCAAAGAATCACCGAGTTCTGTCCTTCCTTCTCAGGATCTTCATTCTCAGACACTGGAACCACCATCACTGGGACCATCAGACAGCAAAGTAAGATATCTGAAGAAATTGTAAATTCTTCCTTCTACCACAACTAATTGATTTAACAAGGCCCTATTTATTTTACCTCCATTACTTTTGCATTAGTCCTACTGTTGTTATTGTTCAGTCACTAGACAGTGAAGAATCTGTCTGCAATCCGGCAGACTCAGGTTCCAACCCTGGGTCGGAAAGATCCTCTGGAGAAGCAAATGGCTACCCACTCCAGTATTTTTGCCTGGAGAATTCCATTGACAGAAGAGCCTGGCAGGCTATAGTCCATGGCGTTGCAAAGAATTGGACATGACTGAGAGACTAAATGTATTACACCTGGTCCTCATCAACTCTTCAGGCCTCTAATTTAATCTCTCAGCTTCCAGTCTGATCATCTCCCATGTAATCTAGACACTACTGTCAAAGCAATCTATTTAACAGCTGAATCTAGCAATCACTTTGCTGCTAAGATCCCTTTAATGGTCCTCCCAGTTTTCAGCCTCATTGTCAACTGCCTTGGTTTAGTGGGCAAGGCCCTCTATGATCTAAACTCTGCCAACTGTTCTAGTCCTTCTTCCATTTTAATATAGAATTCATTTTAATTACTTTTAGCCTCAACAGACTATGTTTTTCCATGCCCACGGAACATGGCAGCCTTTTCCACAGAGAATCACAGCATTAAATCTAAATCAAGATCTAAATTTTTTATTTTAAAGAGAAGGACACCAAGTTACAGAGAGGTTAAGTAACTTTCCCAAGGTTACACAGGTGGTTAGGAACATGAAGGAATTAGGACTCATTTTTTTAGACCTAACTGTCCAAAGGATAATTTCTTTAATTTCTTTCTGACATTGCTCTAGTGGCAAAGTCATACTCTTTGTTTGAAAATCCTAAAATGATACAGATTATTTGGTCTTCATCAAGAAATTGGCTTAAATGTATTTATCCAAAATCTGTTACAAGTGCACAGCTTCCCTTTCCCCCAAAACAACCTATTTTTCAAAGGCCCCCTTCACTAAATTTACCAAGATTTCAATGCAGAAAAAGCTGTCTGCTCTAACATTAATATTCAAATTAAACAGAAGTAACCAAAATAAAATCTCCCAAAGAAAATAATGGCAGAGACAGACCTTAAAATGAATATAAAATATGCTAAGAATATTCCATCACTGAAATAAATTTGACTTTCTGCAATTAATAGTAAGATAAATCTTGAAACACATCAAAATGAAACAAATGACAACTGAAGAGAAACAGTTTGGAAAGGGTCCCATTTGAAATGTATCCGTTTGAAAACAGCCTCTGATTTTTGGCTATCATCATCATGTGCCTGTCCAAAAATTCATTTTCAAATAATATTCCCAAATGCAATCTCAAGTTCAAAATGTAAGTTGGTTGGCATGTTCAAAATTTTCTCTGAGATGGACAAAATAACAACACAAGATGTTTTCAGAAGGAATAATAACTATATTCCAATACTCATTGGGTTTAATTCGTGCTTCAGATGCTGGCCTTTCCCTTCTAATTCTTTAGTATCTTGTTTCTATTAAGAAATGGGAAATACAGGAAACAGGATTATGAAGCCATTTCTAAACATTAGTGTGGTACTGAAGTAAGTTAGCAAAGAAACACATTTTCCAGGAAAGGAAAGAGAGGAAATTGGCTCACACTCAGTCTTGTCAGAAATGGTGACTGATCAGGGTTTAGTCCAATCTAATCATGCCATCATGTCCTAAACTGCATTTATGGCTATGTCAGGGCATTGGAAAGGGCATACTGCATCAGAAAAAGGCCTGGAAGAGGAAGGAAAATTACCTGTTGAATAGGAGAATTGGGGTTATTAGCTTACAATTTCAATAGACTCCAGAGAATCCATCCATTATATTAACATGGTGGTGGCAGTGTTGAGGGAGACAGAATAAGAAATTGAGAGAGGGGGGGAGGGAAGGAATAAACAGAAAGTGAGGAAAGAACACAGTACGATTATTGCTATTAAATATTTAATTTATAGACTAAATCAGGAAGAACACTGACCAAAAGATGCAAATGATTACTCTGGAACTTCCATTTGACTTGAAATATAAAAGCAGAGCAAGAACACACAGGGATTAACATAATAAAGACAAGACAGCAACAATCTGGAGCGGGAAAATTACACAGCATTCATATCCAGAATCTTGATAATACAATAACTCATATACAAAAGCAGTGTTTATTTCTAAGTATTGCTGAAAGAATTTTGTAGTACTTTTCTTCAAGTTTGAAATGTGTTCAATATCTGAAGTCTTCTAGGACATATAATCTTTCAAAAATACAGATGTCTTTTGAAAGGAAAGTTCTCTAGTAAAACAAATTTTATCTTTCAGATACTGAGAGAATTTGAAGGGCAGTCATTAATGCACCTTTTAGATGAATATAATTTGTTATAAAACACCATGTTCATAAAGGATGGTAAGACTGAGATGTATGTCACCCGTGGTATTGGTGTAGTATTGACAGTGTTGCTGATATATAGCATGAATGGTACTCACAGTTAAAAAAGATGAGAGCTCTTCTAAAAATAAGTAATCTACCTCAAAAGAATACTTCTCTGCTGATTTTATGACAAGCAAATAATACATACCATTTTCCATTTAAAAATTAGAGTATTAATGAATAATATATTGAAGGTAGTATATACACACCTGTTAAAAAGTCATTATATAAATTAAAAAACATTACTTTGGGGAAAAGCCAATGAATGATTTAAATGAAAAATGTTTCTTATTGCACATGGAATAGCTGAAGTCAATTTTTTCAGTCATAGTTAGGTTTGCCAAGATATTCTTCACCCCAGACCCTAGATTCAGGAGTAATTCTGGAGGAAAATTTACATTTGTTTGTTATTCCCTGGCCTCATTCTTTTTCATGCCCTATCACGCATGTTGTTCCAACATAACAAAAGCCCTTATATCTAAGGAAGCTTCTCTCTTACTCCCAAACCTCCTTTTCCTCCAAAAGACTCTTTCAAGGAAGCAAACCACCACCGTAACAAGATGATGGGTGTTGGAACAGGATGGGGGTGTAACCTTTGGGAAGGTTAATCAGTTTGTGTTGAATAGGATAAAGGAAACTCAGATAGGGTTAATGCATGCATGCTCAGTCGCTAAATCATGTCCGACTCTGCAACCCTATGGACTGTAGCCCTCCAGGCTCCTCTGTCCATGGGATTCTCCAGGCAAGAATACTGGAGTGAGACTGGGTTAACACTCCAATGCAAGCAGCCACTTAGCTGGACAGAACTAATTGTCCACATCAAACCTGACCCAACCAGGACACAGACTCAGACAGAAAAATGTTCTAAGTGTAATTTTTTCAGTGATCATGACTCTCAGTATCATATTAATATGGAAAGGAGAATTAAGAACTTCATCTTGCCTTTTAAACTTCACCTGGATGTGGGAGGGACATCCAGAGATATACATTTTCCCAAAAAAAGTGATACCACATTCTCTTTTCTGAGAGGAAATACTTGTTTTATGCACCTTTAAATTTTTACTTGTATTTCCTTCCCTACAAGGCAGATGGTGAAGATGAATTATCTTGAAGTTGTGGGGACTTTCTCAGTGTTTTTAATGTGCTTGCTTCCAGAAAGAGAAATGCTGCAGACACCAGGAAGCATCCTAGCTGGGGTATAGTACTGTTTCTTTTGTGTAACCCAGAGCTAGCTCGAAGCACACAGTATATATTTAACAATACTTTCCCACCACCGACTTCACTTAAAATACTAAAATTATCATACCTTTAAAGAAAAAAGTATGCCAAAAAAGTCACAGTCTGATAAGGTTTGTTCTTTGTCTTTACCTGAGAGACCACCTAAGGACACAGGGCTTTTAAAATAATAAGGAGAATCCTTTGTTCTCTCAGGTTCCATTTAAATGGAAACTGGGTCGAAGGGTTTCCCCAGGGAGGGAAAAAAAATCCAGGAGTCAAACACACAGGAGTAAGAGATTTCACTCCCACTACTGTTCCCACCCTCCCAAAGAAGTTAATTAATTCTATTTTAGGGATGTTTGGGGGTGGGGAGCACTCAGGCAGCCCATTCTCTGCAACCATAATCTCATTCTCAACTGTGGCTGAGACCATCCTCCCTCCCTAACACCATGGGGTGAGGGGAGTGGAGAACGTCTCAATAGCCATGGGCAACACGGCAAGTACTGCAGGCATCTGTACTCCCGAAAAGGTGTGTCCCAGGCCAAGAGCGAAGTTGGGTATGCAGACCTGCAAAGCACAATGAGAGCCATTCAAAGCAGCAAGTTACAGTACCTTAAGAAGTCTGACAGATGGGAGAAAGGCTGCGTGGCACAGCTTCCGGATGGTCCAGTTCAGGGGTCGAGGAGCATCAGTTTGATTCATGACCCCTTCCAAATTCCACCAGGAAAGCCAGAAACCGCAAACCTGAGCAATGCCTAGAAAATAAACGGTCCCCCACGGCCCTGGCATCCCATGGTCATCTCCACACCTGCGAATTCCATCAGGGCAGAGGCTTCCTGCAACTTGGGAGACTAGTCAAGTGGCGTTGCTTGAGCCACTGAACCTTCTTAAGAAAGCCACCTCCCCTCTCCCTGCAGCCGTGCTCATGCATACCAAATGTGGCTGAATGGAGGCACACTGCCTGCTGCTTCGGGGAGGGGATGCATGGTTTTGAAGGAGAGGGACAGCCTGCACGGAACAGCCTGTGGTCGGAGTCAGAGCAGCCTGCTCGGAATGCGCGCTCCCTCTCCTGCTCTCCTCCCAGTAAACGCAGGTCAGGCATTGGGGGAAAACCCGGGCCATTTGCTCTGCTCACTTGGTTTGGGGGGGAGCCAGGAAGAGAGCGAAAGGGAACATCAATAAAGCCAGAACGGGGAACTTGCACTTTCTTATACAAAGCATCTTTGAGGGCTGGAAACTGGCACAGGGGGAGGGGCTAGGACACAGAGGGAGAAGGGATGCCTCGGAATGATAAGATAAACACTTCACTTTTGATTTATGTGACATCATAAATTGAGAGCTATTGTAAAACGGATCTGCAATAAAAAGAATCTTTGTCGTGTTCTGGGGTTTTTATTAACAGTGATTGACGGTCCTCACCCTGATATACACATGATATAGATGACGGGAGGTATATGGTAGAGAGACAAACTAACACACACAGTAGAAGCGGTGAGTTATTCCTTTCATAGAAAGCAGTGTAAACTAACATATGTTTGGCTTACCTTTTAGAAATGGCAGTTTCTAAATTGGGGGTTATCCTCTCCTGAAAAGCCACTTGATACTCTAGCTGCAACAAAAGTTTAACCCTTAAGGTGCCACATGGAATGCTTTCTATAAAAGATGGAGTTTCCTGAATTGGGGAATACCCACCCCTATTATTTTCTAAGGATAGCTTTAAGAGAGAGTTGCTGCATTGGCATGAATAGTCTTTAGGGCGCCTATGTTAAGAGAGAATAAAGGAACTTTTCAATTTGAAAGCATAAATTAAATAATATCACTTAGAGCAGTGAAGTTCCAGTGCCCGGGAAGAGGAAGAAGTCACAGCCCACTGAGACTACCCCATCCCCAGGAATCAGACCTTACTGAGTACAGTTGACTGAATTCTGGCTGCCCAGGAGAACTCCCACATCCTTAGAGTATTTCTGTCTTAAACTTATTTTCCCTCTTTATGTCCCTCCCTATGATTGTACTGATTTTCAGTTTATAATTAACTAGAAGAGAATGGTAAATCCCAGCTCCATGACTATTACGTATTCTGAAGCAGAATTGGAGATGTGAGAGCAGATGTGATAACACAGGGACTCTGCTGTAATTCAGAATTTGGAGCAATATGGATCCTCCCTGGAGTGTAATAAATACCTGACACATTACATTACAATCGTATTTCCCTCACAATGATCCTGTGTTACGGATCTAAGGGAACTATTGCAGAAAATCTAGTCTACTGGTAGAATCCAGACTACAGATTGCCTTGTGGAATACAATTCATGCATCTGATTACATTCTATTTACCAATATCATTTTATTAGACTCCCCCCCCACACAGACACACATAGTTGGTTCATTATCTGTCATCATTCTATTTCTAGCAAAGGTTAAAGGCAGCTTAAAACATTAACATCTAACATGTCTGTGTCTGGCATTGCACTAGGCACTCTAAATGCATTATGTAAGTTTGTATCAACAATAACCCTATTTAGTACATGTTATTGTCATATCCACATTTCACAGATTGAGCAATTGAGATCCTGAGAAATTAGTAATGAGCAGCTAAGAAATGAGGCTTCCCTGGTAGCTCAGATGGTAAAGAATCTGCCTGCAATGCAGCAGACCCGGGTTTGGTCTCCTGATAATTAACATAACTAATAAAACCGGGATTTAGATAGAAACTAGTCTACAAGACTATAAAGACAAGCTTTCTCTTCTCTCCTACTTCTTTCATAGTTAAGGCACCCACAGCAATTAAGCCACTGCCTCAGCTTTCTAGAGATTTAACTTTACATAAGAGTTGACTAAAAGATCATGAAGAAGAAATGTTGAGCATTTGTTTCAGATCTTTAGTTTGAGTTTGATGTAGTTAAAAAAGTAAACCATGAATTCTGGAATCAGACTGCATGGTTTGAATTCTAATTCTGACCCCTAAGGCTTGGGTTTTCCTGGTGGCTTGATGATAAAGAATCCACCTGCAATGCAGGAGATGTGGGTTCCATCCTTGGGTTGAGAAGACCCCTGGGGGAAGGAAATGGTAACCCACACCAGTATTCTTGCCTGGGAAATCCCAAAGACAGAGGAGCCTGGAGGGCATCAGACCATGGGGTTGCAAAAGAGTCGGTCACAACTTAGCTACTAAACAACTCTGTGCCTTAGTCTTCATCTGTAAGATGGAGGTAAAAATGAAGCCACACATACACACAAGGCTATGAAGACTAAGAGAGCTAAGATATCAGTGAATCACTTTGAACAGTGCCTGGTGTATTCTGAGTCCTTTATACTACAATTTATCACCTAGGCAGCAAGTACCAATGCTGCTGATGCTACTGATGTCCGCTGGTGATTTCCTGAAGTCTGCACAAGTGTATACATTTTCAGTACTAGGTAATGAATCAAGCAAGGCATATTAAACCTGATAACTTCTTATGAGTTACCACGAGTTTAGTAAATAGGGTAAAGAGGAAGGTGGGAGACTATAGCGCAGTATGGATTTCCTCATGCTACACTGCAGAGTGATATTCATCAGATTATAAGATGTAGCCTTTGGTTAGGCTACAAAGCACCAGCCTCCCTAAGGTATTAGATGCTATTAAGAGGTTGGTTCCCTTGCAGTTCTGTAAAAATGCTGAAACACTGCAATTGACTCTCCCCTGCCCCCCACTGTTCCTCACTGTTAAGGACCCAACAAAAAATGACAGTGCCATTCCAAAAACACACAGCCTTTGATCCTACTAGCCCCTTTAATTTTTACTGAATAACTTTGGTCAAAGAGAATAGTTAGGAACTCTGCGGAATGGAGGAGGAGGAGAATTCACAGCCCTCTCTAATGGAAATTAGAGGAGCAAGCACAAAACCTCCAGAGACTTGGAGACTACAGCGCAAAGATCAAAGAAAAATAATAGTGCATGAGAGGAGGTTTTCTCCCATTGTTGGAATAGTTTGGGCCAAAATTGTTTGCTATCACAACATCTAAAGCAGAGTTTTCAGGATCCCAACCTGCTTCAAGAAATGGTATTTTCACATGGAATGGTATCTTTCTGGGTTTTAGAGAGGAGTCTAATGAGGAAAGAGCAGAGAGGAGCAAGCCCATCCCCAGATGTCTGCATTTCATAAATCAAAAATGCTTGTTTTACCAGTTTTATGAATGTGGATGTTTACAAATCTACAGAATAAATTCCAACAGACTTAGAAGCCTGACATGACCACATTAGTTTTCAGTATCCTCCAGAATAGCAAACCCAGCACATCAAATTTCTGCACTCCAAAGCCTGCCTTTCAATAAACTAATTTTCTTCCATGCTATGTGTTTTATTTTATCATCTTTGTGTTTTATTTCCTGCCTTAATGATGCTAAATTTAAGAATCATGATAAGATTTGAACTGTCTCAATGCTGCTAATGAGCCACAATACAGACAGGCTGCCCAACTTCCTTTTGAAAACACATTCCCTCTCTTTAAAAAAATTATTTCACCTTCCACCTAGCATTGTGCCACTGTGCACACTGTCTTCCCTTATATTTCTTGGATATACAATGGGCTGACTCATGAAAACCGAAGAAAACAGAAAGGAAATGATGCCATATCCTGGTAGTTTAGAGTGTTCCAAACTGCCACCTGAAATGTGTTTTCAAAAAAATATGCTCCAATGTAATTTTCACAATGTTGTTAAAACACTGAAATTCACTGGTATCTGGACATTAATAGAACAGATATTTCAAGGCTCTCACAGTGAATGTAGTGTATGTACCTAGTTCAAGAGGACCATACACAAACATCCACGGAAACAGTAGGAACCAGCCCAAGGGTAATAAACCTTTGTGAGTTAAATTCATTTGCCCCAATACTTTGTAATTCCAATATCAGAACCCTGTTTGTTGTATTTGATAATTCCTCACTTTTATCTGAAAAACATTTGTGTTGTAAACTCTGGCAATTTAACATTTTTTTTGAAAAAACATACTTTTCCTCTTTCTTCTCTTAGAAAGTGAACGTTTAGTCGTTCAGTCATGTCTGACTGTTTGTGACCCCATGGACTGTAGCCCACCAGGCTCCTCTGTCCATGGAATTCTCCAGGCAAGAATACTGGAGTGGGTTGCCGTTCTCTTCTCCAGGATATCTTCCCGACCCATGAATCGAATAGGGTCTCTTGCATTGCAGTCAGATTCTTTACCATCCAAGCCACCAAAGAAGCCCTGGCTTTCTTCCCTTTAATCACACTCAAATTTTAAAATTAAATTTTCAGAAATTTCATATCCTTCAACAATATTTTCTAAGGTATTAAATCTCCTTATAGATTCCACTGATAAAGAACAGTTCCTAACTTAGCTTCAAATATGTTTTCCAAATAGATTACATAATTTTTTCCTATACTTCAGGTGTGTTTCCCCTTTTGGCATCTTTTATAGATAATAGATTATAACATGCATTAAAATCTATTAAAATACATGACTCTCTCACTTAAGCAGCTTAAACAACTTTTATGCGGTATAAAATTAAAAGATCTCAAAATTAGAATAGTTATCTACTCTGTGTCTCCCTGGTTCCCTGAATGCTATCCTGCCTCTGCACACAGTGGCAGGTCGTGGGTGAGTTTCTAAGGTAGCCCATTCCAAGGGTGGACAGCTCTAGTTGAGAGAAAGTTCTTCCTACAACTAAGATAAAATGTGTCTCCCTGGAACTTTCCAGTCAAGTTTCTCTTCCAGAGAATATTCTCCAAAAGATAGGCAACAAGCTTGACTCAAATCTCCTTTTAACCA